TTCTATGAACTCTAGCTGCAAAATGAGAGTTTATATAGTGTTAAAAAGTCATGAGTGCCATCGTCAAAAGGAATGTCACAATCGTATACCAACATGGTGCAATGACACGTTATTGCACAACCTTCACATTACTTTTAGTGCGTGTACCAAGTGTGTGAATATCTGATCTGTATTGAGATCTTAGTGAGATCGAAGATGATCACTAATATCCTTTGATTTGATTTAATAGTTTAAGTATCAGTACATATTGGCGAACACATATTTGGATAAAAATCAATTATGACATCTATGTTATTGTCGTTCCATGGTATAACGAATATGTATATACGAGATGTATATTTGATATATATAGACGGGCAATGACGCTTACGAAAAGTTTACTATACAGGAATTCTAGGTTAACTCACGATAACGAGATAATTGAAAGCGCGAAAATATTTGTTTGCATTTTGAAATGTATTACTGTTGTACAACTTCATATTTATTCGTTAATTCACTGCACATAGTGTGAGTAGCAACGGTCTATTTCTTTGAAAGTATTTACTGTTCTTCTAAATCGAACCTAAACAGTGAAATGAACGAACACAAAGCATGATGACGTTTTTCTATCCTTAACAGAGTCTTTATTTAGTTCGATGAGCTGCGTTATCGGAAAATTCTCCAGGATATCTCTTATGTTGATGAATCTCATGTTTTCTTCATTTTCGCGGGAAATTGAAATTTCTTTTAATTCTAATACTTCATTTCGTATTCAATTAATGTTAAACCAGTGTATATACAAATAGAAAAAGAAGTGTAAACTAATCCTTACATATTCCATATGCTCATCGAATAACTATTCTCCTTCTTATTTTCGTTTGGTATCATAGTATCCCATTCTTTATTTTCTTCGATATCTTGCCAATTGATCACCTATGCAAATACTACACAATCTTCACTTTTAACGTTTACGCTCCCACTGGAATATTCAATCTTGTTTATGTCGTACCAATGAGAATATTAGTGATATTTTGAATTTTAACCTATTGAAATATAAAACGAATACAAAATCTCACTGAACATAAACTTGATCGTCAATTAAGAAAAGCGATCATAATGCAAATTATAAACGCCCTACATACATATTGAGGATACAAAAGGTATTCTATATATTTTCCTGTCATTGTACCGTTTTCCCCTCTTGCGGATACGATAAGAAAAACCAATTTCATTTGAAAATACAAAACAAAAGAACACTTGAATGCAGATTAAGATCATGTTGAACTCTTCAACAAAATCTCTTCATTATGAATGAATACATTCAGCAAATGATCAAGGCTCAGTTTATCTGTTTATAACAAAATGAATAATTTCTTCTTGACATGATCACTTATCATTACTCTCAACAATAACATGTTGACGTCATTGTTAACAATTTGTTATAATTCTGAATTATACGTTTGACTTTCCTCACATATATTCTGTGAAAAACTCCTACTAATAATTTAATTAAGCTTTTGATACTCATAATCGACGTCAGGTGGACTCATTATGCATTTTAATTGCTTTATTGCTATTTTTAAGGTATGATTAGGACTTAGTTGTTCAATTGGGTTTTATCGACATGACTTAACATCGTTAATTATCCGTGTCTAATGAAAGCATCTTCAAAAAATTACCTTGATCATTTGAAGCATCTACGTAAACAACAACGACCTAAAACCTCACTAATTAATGTATCTAAATTTCTAAATGTACCTTTCTATACAACAAACACTCGTTTGACTAATAGCGCATGATAATTATATTAAATATTGTCTAATGAACTCCAATACCCTATCCTATATAGAATGGCAAGACTTTCTATTTGCTTATAAATATGATTTATTAATTATCTCTTCGTATGAAATATTCGACACGATTTTCTCCATCGTACACAACAAATAAGAAAACAAATTAGTATAACGACTAGAAATTGTTTAGGATGCGCGTCAATTCGATTGATTATGTAGCCATCAAATAAATGCCAAGATCGTCCAGCATCGTGATAAATATACTGTGATAGTTCATCTTTGGATAAAATTAATAATCTTTGATCACGGTAATTTCGAAGAATATTTGTTAAATAAATTGATCCGGTGGCAAATACTTCTAAGTATGGAAGAACATAAATTTGATTGAAGAATGATTTTTTATGAATATTTTCCAGAATATGTGAAAGAATCGATGAATTCTGTTGACTAATCATGAAATGATTAACTAAACAAGTATCTGATGATGATCTTCCAATGATAAAAGAAACATTTTGACGAAGAAGTTCTTCGAGATTTGTTCCATGTGGATAAACATCTAAATCAGCATAAATACCACCATGAGAATGAAGAATAATTAATCTCGCTAGATCAGCTCGTTGAATCGAATAAAGATATGACTTATAAACTGGATATAAAAATTCATATTCAGCTTTTAAAATTAATTTTTCGATTTGTTCATCAGTCCATAAATTGATTACATATGTAGGAAAGAATCTTTTCCAGACATGCTGAGAATTATTAATTGGATACGAAGATAAATCATTGGTTTTCCACATTTGATGAATAATCAATGGAATTGTTTGACTTGTGTCATTGAATCGCTCATCTATCGAATGGGTATTAATTCCACACAATAAATCATGAATTGTAAAGGAAATTAATATCATTTGCCACAAGCATAAAACCGTAATTAATACTGAGAAAAAAGTTAATAGAAACCGAATTTTTCTTCTGAAGAACATCACGTTTTTACTATGAAAACCTTCACTTTTCATTTATTCAACACTTGTCCTTTTTTTTTCATGAGAACTGATAAGAATCATCTTGTCTTTTTCTTGCAACAATCGCTTTCATTTCTAAGACAAAAAATTCCAATGTCAAATGATAAGCGAATCAGGAAAATCCGATGGAAAACACATGTAAAACGAAAGATGTCGTTGATGAATCATCGAATACGATTAAGAAACGGAGATTAGGTTTGGTTCATTGACGCAACGTTTATAAAACCGTAGGTTTACATGTTCTCACAATGGGCTATTATAATAATGTCATGGAAATTGTTAATTTAAAAATGAAGTCGATCTGTTAGACACGATGAAGGATTATGTTGACAATGATTATAAAAGAACCGTCTTGCTTTTGAAACTATTAACATAGAGAAACTTAGTTGTAGAACAAGATGATGTTTTTGAGAGAAATGTAAAGTGCACAGAACGACATTTAAAGAAAATCTCCCGTAGTTTTCCTTTTATTCATGTATTTTCACTCTTGTTTTTGTCATAATTAAGAAAAGAATCCTTTGACTTTCTCGTACTTTTGGATAACAAAATAACAGATTCACGTCTGAGCATAAACTCGATTACCTTCAATAGGAAAAAGAAAACGATTGAATGATATGTCAGAAATCACGTTTAATCGGATGAGAAATCTTAAATAAGAAATCATTCTGAGTAGATCACAATATCTTTTCGTGTTTTTATTCAAAGAAAAACCGATATGTCATCCAATATATCAATAAATCATTCTCACGTGTTAAATTCGAACGACGCATCATTTTGGAGTCAACCAACACCGGTGAATTGTGATATCATTCGAATATTTGGAATTTATTTATGCATATCATCGTTTCTCGGTGTTATGATCAATGGTTTATTGCTTCTAAGTTTTATCCGACATCGACAACTCCGTTCACCACCAAATATCTTCGTCATGTTCATCACCGGAATGGGTCTACTTGCTTCGTGTACACTACTACCATTAACAGGAACATCATCCGTTTATTGTCAATGGTTGTATAGCCGTGCCGGTTGTTATCTTGACGGAATCATCGGATTTCTATATGGATGCGCAAGTGCTTACTTACTATGCGCAGTTAGTATCAGTCGATGCTACATTATTGTGCGACCATTGAATGCAAAGAAAGTGACTGTAAGTGAAAATGTAAAATAAATGAGACAGTGAAAGAAGATTCATTTAGGTTGGAAAATCAATTATTGCTTCTTGTGTTGTTGTTTTCATCAGTTTTCTATGGACAATGATGCCGCTGCTTGGATGGAATGAATATACAATGGAAGTAAGATTTTGAGTGAAAATTGATTAGTTGATTTTATGATTTGATTTCAGGTTGGACGAACTTCATGTTGTATAAGTTGGTATGATCGTCGTCCGTCTTACATATCGTTTACTATTGTCATATTTATATTTATTTACTGCGTTCCATTACTTATTCTTATTGGTACAAATACAATGGCAATGATCGGCCTTCGACGTATGAGGGAAAAACTCGAACGAGGAATTCAACAAAACTTCAGTCGAAAACGAATTGAAATGGAACGACGGCTTATTAAAAGTAAATATTTCTCTATTAACATGACATACGTCATCAATTCATCTAGGTATTACAATAACAACATGTGGCTTCTTCGTCACATGGACGCCATATTCAGTAGCTGTGTTAACATCAATCTTTCTAGGTGAAGATTATGGTACACCACCTATCATAACATCAATTTCATCCATATTCGCTAAATCATCCGTTATCTGGATTCCATTACTTTATATTAAAACGTCCACACATTTTAAATTTGGTTTCGTCAATCAAAATGTATTAGATGCAAACGGAGCAACCAATCGAGTCGGAAGCAACGAGGGAACAAGAGCTCGGGCTAACATCAACAACTCGTTGCATATGGAAACAATGCAATAAAGTCTATGTTCAAATTAAAATTCATAATCAATTATGAAAATAAAAGTTTATGTATAAAAATTCGATCTCTATCGACTTGATTATGATCAGTATGATTGTTGATCGAATGAACCTATTTACTGATGAACAAATTGCACTACCTTCCTATACAAATACTTCAATCTGATATCATAACATCGAAAGCTTTTGGTATTTTTGTTATAGTTTAAAGTTCTTCGCTGACACACTAACTATATAAAGAAAGAAAAAGCTATCCTTTTGTATCATGTTTACCGTAAGTGAACAGTTGAAGCATAAATCATCAGATTCCTTCGAAGCGTAATGATCTTTTAGAAAAAGCGGTCAAACAAGTCTTTGATATACTAATAAAGCTAAACAATTAATTCTTTGTTTATCGATTAAATGATTTGCTTTGATTATTCCGATCGATGTTAATCTTGCCTTTTATATTCGAACATGTTTCTATACGTTATCGATAAAAACATATATATATATGAATGTGAATCATCATTTAAAGACGTTTGCGAATAAGGTGATGCATCTAAATTAAAGAAACGATCTGTATTTTGATTTTTGTTGAAATCATATCGGACTATCTACTCTAAATAAAATCGTTTATTCGCAGCTAAGAAGTTAAATTTTTGATCAATCATTAACATAAAAAAAAAAGTTAGTGTTATAAAAGCATTATTTCTGTCTGTATATGAAAAGAAAACAACCTGAAAGTTAATATTGATTTGGATTATTTCGATATTCAAGTGAGATTTCATATTGAAAAATGTGTTCACTATTCGCTTGTAATTCTTCTCCGATGATTTGTAGACCTTCGCCGATACTTTCAATTTTATCTTGCTTATCACCTTTGGGAATAGTAGTAAACTTCGCGGAGGAAATAATTTCTTTATATTCATATTTGACCGGTTTGGATTTACCATTTCGAATGGTTAATTGAATATCATAGGATGCAGATTCTCGTTTTTGTGACAAGACTTTCACTTGACGATTAAAACTTACATCGGGATCATCTCCGCAATCTAAATCTTGTTTTTCACCTTGAGAGAGATCAGTTAGTTGAGCTTGCCCAACGACTCGACCATCTTCACGGATAGTAACCGTGCCTTTGGGAAGAAAACTATCGGATTCAATACGATATTTTCTTTGGAATTTGCCTTTGTGTGTTTGTTCTTGAAAGTAATTCTGTAAACCGGCGTACTTTTCTAATTTAATCACTGGTTTAACAAATGGTAATGAATATGTTGATTGTTGAATAAGAACAAATGGTTGATCAATGGAATACCAATAAATACCGGCTAATTCACCTTCAGCTTGAATTGACGGAGATGGAGCAGAACGACAATCACAGCAGCAACATGATTTCATACAACAGCGTCTCATAGGTGCCGATCGATGTGAATGTTGAAGATGAACATCTCCACCGAATAATTCCGTACGTTTGATTTGATAATCACGTTTCGTATTATTCGTAATGTCAGCCCATGCTTCAAACGAATGGTCTGTTGATTCAACTTTAAGATTATATCGTGATGACCAATTAATTCCTTGAAAAATCAAATTTGACTGAAATACTCCTTGAAAATGTTGTCTTACCATTGATTAAATAGGAAAGAAATGCATCGCCTGGTTGATTTAAAGCAAATGTTACTTCAGTTCCTTCTTCTTCAGGAATATGTACATATTCAAGTTCGTGATTTTGTGCACGAATGAATCTTCCAGTTTTGACATCTTTTAATAACAAATCATTTGCACGAATCACTTGACATTCGACTGGTGTTTCATGTGGTCGACGAATAAACACTGTTTGACCTTCTAAATTGTTCGCTTTTGTCACACTATTTTGACTGAGAACATCAATTCCTTCGACATTGAGACTTCCTTGGACAATTTGATCATAAACCTCACGTGGAAAATACATTTTGAAGTTCTAAAACAAAATACAGTTGGAAAACATTCTCATCGATTTTGTTTCTTACTTGAGGTGCATGAAATTTTTCACGAATCTCAGTAAATGATGGATAAACACGAAGTTCGGTGAAAGAAGGAAAGATTTTATCTTTATCTTTCTCATTGTTCGAATTTGAAGCCATTTCGAGTATCTAAAACAACGAAATCGATTTCATAGGGTCGCAAATCCATAGCTGCCAATGAATAATATGCAGTCTTTTCTCTTTTCTTTGTACCTATTAGATATCAGTAGAAGAAAGAACATCGACTGATTTGTTGGACGAAAAATATTTTTCAAAAAAAGAACACGGAAAAAAATGTTCTTGTTATTTATTAATTAACAGTGCATGTCAACCAACACTGCAGATCATCATAAAACTAAGCCAATAATGTGTCATTCTATCAAAGAATAACGAACGACATCTATAAAACAATCCATAGTTAACCAAATGGAGGTCAATGTCGATGGCGAAGCGATATGTTTACTTGAAGTGAATCTCACAAGAAAACATGATTAGTGACGATATTCGTTTAGGAGATATTATCACAGAAGATGATAATGGTGATATAATTCTTATTGGTTTTCCATATGACGAAGGTGTACGAAGAAATAATGGACGAGTAGGTGCCAAATCGGGACCAAATGCATTTCGACAACTATTAAAACGAACAGGAACTGTGGTTAATGCTGAATACGATGATTTAGATATTCGAAAGTATGTGAAAATATCCGATGGTGGAAATATCAATGAAAATCTAAGTTTAGAAGAAGCACATCAACAATTAGAAGAACGTGTTACTCATTTGATTAGAAATCAAAAAATTCCATTTATTGTCGGTGGTGGAAACGATCAATCGTATCCAAATGCATCGGGTTTATTGAATAACTCAAAATCGGTTTATGTTATTAATATCGATGCACATCTCGATGTTCGGCCATTGAAAGAAGGAAATAAGGCACATTCCGGTTCACCTTTTCGACAATTGATTGAAGATGAACGATTTCATCAAAATCCTTCTAGTAGGATAAAACAACTTTTATATTTATGAACGCTTTTTCTTAACTCTAGATCGTTTCATTGAATTTGCCAGTCAAGGATCTCAATGTTCGATTGAACATGTGAATTATCTTCGTTCAAAATCTCCACTAACAAATATTATTTGGTATCAAACCATTCGTGATGATCCCTTGACACCGTTTCAATCAATAATCAAATCAGCTGAAGAACAAAATTGTGACATTTTCGTTTCATTCGACATCGATTCAATTATTTCTGCATCTTGTCCTGGTGTAAGTGCACCGGCAAGTGTTGGTCTTTCTGCTCAACAAGCTTGTGATCTTGCATTCATTGCTGGACAGTCGTTCCACGTAAAACTAATGGATATGAGTGAATATAACCCACTTGTCGAGGAATATCGAACTGGAAAACTAATAACGTTGATTTTTTATCATTTTATTCTTGGACGGGCAAAAGCAATTCGTGATTCGCAATAATAATCGTGTCTTTCATTAACATTCTTCTTTTTTTCAGATATAAAGATGCTTTCATCAACGTTTCGTTTTCTAACACGAACATCAACGTTCATACGACCGATGATGACCACTCTTGCTCGTCGTTCACTCTCCTTCAAGCCAACTCTTGTCAATCTCAATGACAAACATCGTCAATCAGCAATGATCATCAACCATATTCCAGTTCGTCAATCACATGTTCATTACACCTATCCCATGATCGAAAGTCGTGTCATGCTTGTCTTACGCTTATTCGATAAGATCGATGGCAATGCTTTACAATTGGATTCAAAGTTTGTCCAAGATCTTGGTCTTGATTCGCTGGATATTGTAGAGATTACAGCAGCATTAGAAGATGAATTCTGGACGGAAATTCCTGATGTGGACTCGGATCATTTTCTCACACCTCGTCATATCATTCAGTATTTGTGTGACAAATATGATGTTTATGAGCATGTGGAACCCATTTCAGCTGGAAAAGAATACATGGAAGAAGCGAAAGCAGCAGATGAACGAGCACATCATCACTAGACTAAGACGTTTTCTTTACTCTTCTTCTTTTCTCCTATAGATTTTGTTGATAAGTCATCCCTGTTTTTTTTTCGTCACAACAAACGATTTTATTATGAAAATGTTGCTGAAACATATGTTGAATTACATGATGAAATGAGAATTGAAGATTCGACGAGATCATTGCCGATGCAACATAATAGAATAAATGTTGCTGCCATCGCAATGGCGAGGATAGCATTTGAATATAGAACAAATATTATTCTAAGGCAACGCATGAGCTACTTGCTGAAGATCTAACGAGATACTATTAAAATACAGAGCAGAACTTACTTTGATATGTGTCTTGTATTATTTTCTGCTCGTTGACCGGTTTCGAATAAAAATCTCATAGGAGATTGTTTTGTACTGCAGTTACATCAGTGGATGACTTCTGAATTTTGAAAACATTGCCGAAATATGATCGTCATTGGATAAANAGTGCTCGAATTCAGGTGCTCGAAAATCAATTGGAGCACGAAAAAAAGAAAAACTTAAGTGGCAGTGAAAATTCAGATGCATCGCAAGACAAAATATAAATCACGTGGACATGTGTTTGTCATTATTGTAGTTTTTTTTTGTAGATTTTGTTTATGTGACAATTAAGATAAATTAGTTATGAAACTTATGAGAAAGAATTTGAAAATAAAAAACGTTTGATTCCTATCTCGAAAGAATATTTATACAGAAATGATGTTTAAATATAATGAAAAGAATGTACAGTTCCGAATGGCCTTATTAAACACGTCGAAACAGTTACATTTACTTGTTGTCTTCAAACTAATTATTTTCATCATTCATTTAGTTCGTGAATATCAAATGAGAATAATAGAAGACATTCTAACTAACCTCCCAAAAATGGCTCAACATGTTCCCTCATATTCTCGACGCAGTATACAACCTTGAAACGATCGAAAAGTGAGATGATTTACTTTTTGTCTTCATTTTTTATCCAAGAACCAGAATAGAACTGGGTAAATTCTAACGATTGTACTGGGATTGAGTAAATTGCTTTGAATTTCAGCAAACCAGATTTAAGATCCAAGTCATATCATTCTTGTTCAGATTTGTTCGTGTAAACAACGTGAGATCCTATGGAAAAACTTCGCTGTATATCGATAAGGTTCGTGGAGTTTTACAAGTTTCATTGATTGTTCGTGGAAGTTCGTTTCTCTAGAACATGATAGGTTCGAGAGGAAGAAGGCGCTCTACCTCCTCAATACTTTTCATACAGACTGCACTGCATCGACTACTGAATGATAATAAGATCCAAGATTCTATGACTATAGGTAAATGTGCATGAAAATGATCTCCACTCACCAGCACCTACGTCCTGCAATAAATTAGATGACGATTGTGCAATAACGTGTTATTGCACAATCGCTACACTGTTGTGGTGACATTACTTTTCATAATGGAAAACATACCCATGTCTTTACTATATAAGTGTTCATTTTTCTCTTCATCACAATGCATCTTATAGTAAAAATAGAACTTTGAGATTATCTATCTTATTCTATTATTAAAATATGGTTGCCATAACTCGAGCCACTTTAGCACGTCAGCTACAATCATCAAATGTCAAAATTACTAACAAACATTCTGGAAAAAACAAAATTACCAAAAAGAAGACAAGAACAGTTAAACAACGAAAAGCGTTACCGTCATCATCTAGTTCGACTCCCATGCAAGCTAGTTCTATGCCAGTACAGGCATACAATGACGCTAAGGGCAAAAGTAACATTACTGATGCTCTGGCATACGATTGTCATTGGAATCCAGTTGGAAGAGAATACGATCTGGGAAGAGATGGTGCATTCATGGGATTTAGTATTCTGATCGGACAATTCTGTAGTGATCAAACGTTCACTGATGCTGCAATGCAAAAGCCAATTGATGAACTGAAAATGAAAGGGTTCCAAGTCAAGTTTGTCAAAAGTGAAGATGAGTGTATCAAAGAACTTGATTCAAATCAATATCAAGTCGCATGGATCATAAGCGATATGCGCATCAAAAATCGTAATATAATTTCATCTTTGACAAACTTTCATTCGAATGGTGGTGCAGTATTTCTGTTCGCTGATAATACACCATATGTTTCTCATGCGAATGAATTTCTTGGTAAAAAATTTGGTGTGACTGTCGAGGGAGATTACTATGGTACAAAAACATTGACTTATGCAGAGAATGGTCATCAACAAAAAGGACATTTTGGTCAACATGATATCTTCACTGGTGTCAAGAACTTATATGAAGGTGTCACCATCTGTCATCCAGTGTATTCGACCGAAGAGAGTCGAAAAACATTTGTTCCGATTGCAACAGCTAGTGATGGAAACACATGCATTGCTGTTTATGATCCACCAGCAAGTTCAACATCGAATGAAGGGCGAATATGTCTCGATTGTGGATATACAAAGTTGTTTATTAACTGGGATGCAGCAGGAACAGCTCGATACATAGTAAATGCTAGTTGTTGGTTATTGCGAATCGAAAATCGTTTTACTTAGAATAGAATGATACGAACTAGACTATTTTCTTATTGATTGTTTATTTTTGTTTTTGTATAAATAACGTCTATTAAACTGTACATTGTTAAATGACTTGTGATTGTCGCTTGCTCAAAAAATAAAAGATACACTGACTATTAGATAAATAGACAATAACAATACAGCTTATGTACAAAAAATTCTCTTTGTTGGTGATTCTTATATATGAATGAATTTGTTTACAGTGTTTTTTTAATTTTTGAAATGTATCATCTATGATTTGATGAGTTTTTAAGTGTCCTATAGGCAAACATAAAATCTCTGATCATAGAATATTCATTTTTTTATATCCTATAACCTTAAACAGAAGGAAAAATCGAAGTCATCAGACATTTATTTTTGTCTTTGGAATATATTTATATCTTATAGCGATCAGATCTCGTTATAATTCGACTTTTGTCTATAGTAACACGTATTCTATTTCAATTTCCATGCAAGGATAAATGTAGAACATCTACAGTGCTCTAACTCCTAAACTTGCTTCCAAATTTTCGAAGATAAACTCTATTTGATATAGATGTCAGTTATGTACAATCATGTCAAACGTATAAAACGAACTGTTTCTCACGAAATAACACTTTAAAATTTTTTTTAAAAGTAATTAAAATTTACTTAGAATATTTTCTTAAACAAAAAGATTAGTTAGCAAAACAACCAATAACAACTGAAATACCCCAAACGTGGACAGGTTATCTTATTTGTTTAAGTGCAAACTGATTGCAGATTATTGGATATGGTCATACCTCTTTTATTTCGTCGTGTAATTCAACACAAACAATTTCATCTTAATTTGATTGCTCGAAGAATGGCTTCAACTCAATCTTCCAAATATTTAATCTCAAATTCGGCTTACAAACCATTTCTACAAGAATTAGGTTTAGAAGAAGAAAACTTAGGAGTGTTCGATGGTAAATGGTTTGCCAGCGGAGAGGTTCGTCTGGAGTATTTGTTTTTTTCGAAGAAAATATTCTGTTTCATAGGCGATTGATTCAATCAATCCTTCGACAAATGAACCTATCGCTCGTGTTCGCCAAGGTACTATTGAAGACTACAATCGAATTGTTGAATCATCTTCGAAAGCGTTTCAAATGTGGATGAATGTTCCAGCGCCGAAACGTGGTGATATTGTTCGGCAAATTGGCGATGAACTAAGAAAAAATCTTCAACCGCTTGGAAAACTAGTTCAGTTTCGTTTTCTTTTTCATTCGCAAATTCTCTATTATTACCTTTCGTAGATCTCAATGGAAATGGGTAAAATCCTTCCTGAAGGTGTCGGTGAAGTTCAAGAATTTATCGATATTTGTGATTATGCCGTTGGTCTCTCCAGAATGTTCGAAGGAAAAGTTCTTCCGTCAGAACGTAAGTCAACAGATAATCTAATCTATTCTTCTTCCACGTTGAGATTATTTAGGACCTGGACACATTCTTATGGAACAATGGAATCCATTGGGAATTATCGGCATCATTACAGCATTTAATTTTCCATGTGCCGTTTTCGGATGGAATCAAGCGATTGCACTCGCTTGTGGAAATGTCACACTTTGGTAGAGAAGTTCTTCTTGTTTGCTAACCACTGAAATATTCCGATTGAATCTATAGGAAAGGTGCTCCGACAACACCATTGACAAGTATTGCAACGACAAAAATAGTTGAACGTGTTCTCACACGTAATTCTTTACCCGGTGCTTTATCATCATTAATATGCGGTGGAACAGATGTTGGAAAATCCATTGCAGAAGACAAACGAATTCCGCTTGTTTCATTTACTGGTTCATGTCAAGTTGGAAAACAAGTTGCACAAACAGTTCAAGCACGATTTGGTAAAACGATTCTTGAATTAGGTGGAAATAATTGTATCATTATTATGGACGATGCTGATCTTTCCTTGGCTATTCCTGCTGTCTTTTTTGCTGCAGTTGGTACTGCTGGACAAAGATGTACAACTGCAAGACGACTTGTATGATAGAAATCTTTCACTGAAGAGGACATGTTTTCCGATTTTTTGAATTAGATTGTTCAAGAAGGAATTTATGATCAAGTCTTATCTGGTTTGCGTCGTGCATATGAACAGATTGAGTCTCGAGTTGGCGAACCGTTTGAAGAAAATGTTCTGTACGGACCATTGCATACAAAACAATCAGTTCAATTGTATCAACAAGCCATCGAAGAAGTGAAAAAACAAGGTGGAAAGATTTTCTATGGAGGAAAGCTTTACACAGAAAGAAAAGGCAATTATGTTCAACCAACAATCGTTACCGATCTCAAACATGATTCATCAATTGTTCATCAAGAAACATTTGCACCAATTCTCTATGTTCTCAAATGCAAAGTATGGCATATCTTCGACTTCAAATAGAACCTTTCATTCTCTGTTTTTTTTTCAAAAGACATTTGAAGAAGCTGTGAAATGGAATAATGAAGTTGATCAAGGTTTATCAAGCTCGTTGTTCACAACAAACCCGGAACTTCTCTTCAAATGGATTGGCCCAAATGGATCTGATTGTGGAATTGTAATATTTGTTCTTTTTTTTCGTATTTCTTTTGACTTGTGCGTTTTCGTTGATTTAAAGGTTAATGTTAATATTCCAACAAGCGGTGCTGAAATTGGTGGAGCTTTTGGAGGTGAAAAGCATACCGGTGGAGGAAGAGAATCTGGCTCGGATTCATGGAAACAATATATGAGACGATCGACGTGGTTTGTCATATTTTCATTTGTTTAATGAGAGAATTCAATGTTTTCTTTGTTTAGCACAATCAACTATTCGAAACAGCTTCCGCTTGCTCAAGGAATTAAATTTGCGTAAAAACGAGAAGAAGATCTCAACAGTTACATGACGTATTTTTAGATTTTGTTTTTCCATGACCTGATCACGACACTGTTTTGATTTTAAGAAAGATTGAAACTTCATTTTAGATGTTAAGTTGAACTCGAATGGAAAACGTTGAAGATATTGAAAATCTTCTCTCCCTTCATTGGCCACATATCTTTTCTTCTATTGATCCTTCAACACCTATCACTCTTACCAAACTATCTCGATACAATTGGCTCATCAAATGTTCCGAACATCTCTCCTATGTACTTAAATCATCACAAACAAATAATTTAGATCTTGAATTGAAATATCTCACTGATCTAAATCGTTATTTTAATAATGAATATCGTGTTCCTCTTCCTCTTCTCACAATTAAAAATGAAAGACATGTTAATGGTAAATATTGGTTATATGAATATATTCATGGTAAAGTTTATAATGATTGTGATTGTGCACATCTATTCGATGAAAAACAACTGATCTTATTAGCTAAACTTATCTCAAAATATCATCAATTTCTTATTACTAATTCGTCAACATTATCAACAAATAAGAAATCAACAACTCGTGAACATCTTCTCAAAGAATTCAAACAATCCATCGTAGGTTGCCCTTGATGATGATGTGAATCGATGATGTTGTTGTTTATTTAGGATGTGATTAATGAATGTCGAAAAGAAAGAATCGATTTAGTCAATGAATATTATCTTGGATGTTATCCGTTATTGACGCGATTGCTGGAAGAATCACTTTCGAAACAAGAAAAGAGTCATTCGAATCGTAATTATCTTATTCATCGCAATCTTCGTCCATCGAAGATCATCTGGTCATCGAATAATGAAAATGATCAGATCGTTGGCATCATTGACTTTGAAAATCTGAATTATGACACATTATGGCGAGATCTTGCTGTTTGTTTATCAACATTTTGTACATCATCATCACCATCGATTATCACTGATGTTGATCGAATGAGAATATTCATTAGTGAATATATGAAACAAATCTCAGGTGGTGTTGCAAAAGTTTCATCACAAACCGAACAAGAAGTATTTCATTTAATCGTTGATGAGATTATTTTATGTGCTTGTGAAGATTTTACATTTATTTATTGGCAATATCAACATCAAAATGAACTATTTCAAGGTATCAAAGCATTAGAGTTTTACTATAAACGAGCACTGTGGCATACTGAACATGCTTTGAAGAAATAAAGTATTGCTTCCTGTTGTTGATGAGATTGTTTTGTTATTTATTTGAAATTAGATTATTCTTATATGTAAAAAGAAAATACATGAAATTAATAAACTTGATATATCTATGATTTTGTATAAAACATGATGATTTCGATGTTTATAAAGGAACATATTAGGTAAAGTGCTTTGTATGCATATTAGTGAGAGAGAAGTGTATAAATATTTTCTTACAAATGTCTATGGAATATAACACCATGGTATCTTATTAAAGATAAATAAATTCCAATGCTATGCAACCGATCGTGCCCGAAAGCTGCACTATTTCATATTGTGAGACAAGATGTTGGTTTCCGACGTTCTCGGGTGGATCGTCTAGCATGATATTGTCGTCTGGACTCTCATAATATTTTCAACTGACAATCTCGAAACATGACTTTCTTAATCGCTATCCATTAAGTTAATGTTAGATTCACTAACGATTTCTAATTTCATAGCGTCAGCAACCCTTCTTAAGTTGAGTTGTACTCGTTTCCAATTAATATTAAATCAGTCATAAAATATTTTATAACTGTACTGCGTTACCGACGTATTGCTCGCGATAATAATTAGTAAAATATTGTGTATGATTTGCTGTGAATTGAATCGTTAATACGATTTCTCTCGATATTTAAATGATATATAAATGATGAATCCAGTTGATTCAAGCTTGACATTGACTTCATAGCATTTGACTCGATAAAACTTATAGACAACACATTTTTCTTACATTGTACGGCTGCTTTTTGTAGTAGTTTACAGATATCCAATTTATCTATGAAAGTACCTTTTATTTTCCAGGGACGTTCAATAAATTGACAATTTGCTTCGTTAGAATTCTTGGAATAAATGCAGATTGAACTTATTTGAGAAATTTGTTGTATAAGTGAAATAATGTCTGCGGATATCGAATCAGATGCAATTATAAAAACATTTTCTTTCTCGTCATCAGTAACAAAATCGATATACGGATGAAGTTCAAAGAATATACATATATTATTGATAATTTTATGCAATTTTGATATTGCGCTTTCCCAATATGTCTCATTAGTTTGATGGAAATTTTCCTCCAGTCGTACTAAAATACACAAGATCATCAGTATTAAGCGTGTTCGATAAGTATTGATAATGGTATTTAAACGAAGATTCGGAGTCCATCCTGTTCGTGTTCCCTTATTAAAGACTAAGTCTGTTATACCACTCTAATGAATGAATAATCGCAGCGTCATTCTAGTAGATTTTTTCCATTTTGATTCCATTTTTCCTTTTCTTTCTCTTTTATTATTAACGAAATTGATGGAGTGATCTGTTGTATATATTATCGTAAAGTAAACACGAGGATTAAACATCGAATGAGAAAATGTAATTGTACACGCACATCAACATAGTCACACAAAAAATACAATCGAAAAATCAATCAATGTTTCTGAAAGAATGAAGTTTTTGTACGGTTGGAATCATTTCCGATAATATTCCGTTCATCTATGCAATCTATGCATGTGCCCATGTAGATGGGAACGAAACTTATTTTGTTTTTGTGCTGCCATGCGAGAAGCTGGACTCGGTTCTGGCAATGGCGAACATATAACATCAGCAACGTTACCATTTTGTCGTGGTGGAACATTGCCTGATTGAAAATATGTGATGATTACATTGTCGACGCATAAGTTACCTCGCAAGCTGCTGGCATGTGTAGTTCCATTTGTAACTGCAATAAGTCTAGCATGAGGAAAAAGTTCTCGAACTTTTAAACTATCATTCAATGGTAAAGCGGGATCCAGAGTTTGAATGACTAATAGGATATCACCAATGTCTTCACCGTTCACAATCACTGACTTATGTCCATTTTTAGCCCAGTATAAACAAGGTGCACTCCCCCAGGCAATAGGCCAGGTTGTTATAGGAGCCTGTGGATAAACACGCCAAAAGTCTAGTCGAACCTTCTCCCAGTTTCGAGGCGAAGGAGCATCAGTGCACATAGTGAACGAGGAGGCGTCTGCAGTATTTCCCTGTTGAGCGATTAGTTCTAGATATAGTTGTACAATTAGAGTCGCATTGTTTTCGTTCACCAATTCGCTAAGAGCTGCTCCGAATGTTAACCATGATTCTTGCGTATAAGCGACCGGAGAGAATAGATTGGCCCATTCGTATGGGCCAATTATACCATTGATCGGATTTCCTTCTAATTGATTTCGTACTTTAAACCACTGAAATTCGACTTCGCTTTTGGTATTGCCCAGACGGTAGACATTCGTATGTTTTGCTATCCACCGAAAGAAGATTTCCATATTGCGATTAATACTTTCAGGTAAACGAAGATTTGCTGGATACCACACTTTATCGGGATCGATACTTGAGTCAAGAACCATACGTCTCACACGAGTTGGATATAATGTTGCATAGATTTGACCTAGATAGGTACCAGCAGAAAATCCATAATAGTTTATTTGTTCTTGTCCAAGAGCTAAACGAATGCTTTCCATATCTTTTGCAGTATCAACTGTGGTCATATATGGAAGCAATAGTTTATTATTCTTGGCACAGTTCGAAGCAAACGTTTCTGTAATATTCAACCAAATATCTTCTAAGTTTTGAGTCGATGGAATAGGCTCTGGAAGGGGATCTTTGGAAGAAGTAAGTTCACATCTGACGGCCGGTTCGCTGGAACCTACACCACGTGGATCGAACCCAATGAAATCATATGTCTGACTGACTTCTATTGGAAACGCTTGTACTATGAGAACTAGTGGTAAACCAGATTGACCGGGACCTCCTGGATTGAGTAACATAACGCCTTGGAAGTTGTCGTCCAATACTGTATGTTTGATACGTGATACTGCTATTTTGATTTTGGTTCCTTGTGGACGATTGTAATCGAGTGGAACGGACAGAAGACCACATTCAGCTGGTGTCTGGATGAGAGCAGGATGTGTGCAGGGTCCCCACTCTATATTAGATACCGGAATTTGAGGAGTAGTACTTTTGGTTGTGTGTTTTGTACCTACAAGTTCATTGGTAGTCATTCATTGTTCTACATACTTGTATATTATTTACCTGTCTGATGATACCGAGGACGTTCATATCGATACGATGGCGATTTTCTATATTCGTGTTCTGAATATGGCGGCTCTTCACTGTCAGTTTCTTCATCATAATCTTCTTCAGTTTCATATGTCGATTCAATATCCACATATTCTCTTTCTTGTTTTCGTATATCAAAAGATCTGTGTTTTGTTCGAATACCACCACGAAAACCACCGGTAAATGAATCGATGGTTGGTATACCGGCACCATATACTACAAAATCGACAAAAAAATACTCCGAGACTATCAAAGACATTAAACAAACATGGTATTGGTTGAAAATAAGGCATCATGTTAATTGGACCAGTGGGTGGAGCACCACTACTAACTAAACTTGCATAACCAGAAGCAATTAAATCTGCGATGGAAAATCTTCGTCCAAAAAAGTTGATCACTGGTGGTAGAATATAGACTAAAAGAATTATTGGATGACTTTTTAATTCATTGACAAATTAGATTAGTTCTCACCTCCTGATGGTGAGAATATGATTGTTTGTTGCGTTAGTCGATCAACAAATAATGGTATTTGTGGCATGAAACTTAGAAATGGACCTCTCAGTGCTTGAAACAAAATAGAACAACTATGATTATAAGAAAAGGTCCTTAACAATCGAACAAAAACTACATACGAAATCGGTTACGATCATAGCGTGCGACTGGAAAACGATATCGTTCAAAATCCCGTCGATTACTGTGATCAACTGGTTTACGCATATAAATATTCATATGGCCAAGTTTTTCAGGACGATATTCTCTGTGCTACATTATAAAAATAAATCAAAACTTGATGTCTAGTAAACAAAAACGCATTTACATATGAAGAACCGCTGCGTAACTGAGGACTGCCATCGATCGGTATTGATGTTTGGTCGATATCTGTGTCTATAAATCAGATTGTCAATCTTCAATGAACAATATTTCTTTAAAATGATCCAATTCACCTTGATCCTCATGCTTTGTGTGAACTTTGTATTGAAAGACACTTACGGTCACGATGCCACAAACAATCACAAATAACAACATAATTGTATAAAAATATTTGCTTTTTGTCGAATCTGATGATCTAGAATATGAAATATCATTTTGTTAGGATAACTAACTGTGTTGATTAACGTTCTGGTACGAACTTCTTTGTAGAGTCTACCGCCTTCTCAAAACCGTCTTGATATTGTTCATCATTCACAGTCATATATTTTGATGAAAATTGAGAGTCTCTTGATTTATCCACCATAATTTTCGTATCCAGAAGTATTACTTAATTTGTTGTCGAAAATCTCGGTTTATATATTGATGACACTCCGAGGTAGATAAAAGTGTTCTCGATTCTATCGCACTTGTAAACATCGTATGATATGTCATATGATTCTTATTATATGATATTCGTAAGCATAACAAAAATGTGTTCGAATAGACGAAGATAACGCAAAAGGAGAATAAATTTTTAATAGGTAGAAACACGAAATTTGATAAAACATTATCTCGTACAGGTTATTCACATTATTTATTCTAGACACATGAGCAGGTGTTTTATTTTGCTGCTATCATTGTGACACTAAGAGATATTCTTGAAAGCTTTTGCCTTTAGTAAATATTAGTTTTATTCGATGGTTATCACGAACTAACATTCCTTCGATCTGTTGTTATATTTATTCACGAAGATGACTTGCCATCATTTACAAAAATGAATATTTTAAACCGTTATCAGCTATTGTAAATGTATACACACGGTAATATAGTTGAAATTATTAGCAATGGCCAAATTACCGACATGATCGTGAAATATATACGTGGATTTGGCCATTCCCATCGAACAGTTCTCACTTTTGTACTATGATAATAACACGACGCCGTGCGATTGACCTGGAATATAATTGACATGAAATCAGATCGATTTAATATAATCTTATAAAAGTACGCACCGAATTTGGTCCAGGTCCTCCAGATTCTATTGTTGTTGATTCGATTGTACGACCATCGGATACATTATATACGACTTCGTACTTACGCATAATCACACACACTCCACCAGAACAGTCTTTATAGTTTTCAAAAGACGTAACGAAACACATTGTTGTTCTATAAAGACTTTCAATGGTCTTTTCACGAGCGTAATCAATAGTGGCTCCCAAAACAGTGAACATTAATATACAAAGTGATGTGCACATCACTCCAAATATGATTATCATTTTCGCATTCGCCATGCTGTTCTACTCTAAAAATTGAAGAGAATGAATGTTGTTTTCTTCGCTGTTTAAACATTTACAAAGAAACGAAATCACTCGCAACAGAATGTAAAATTCATGTTCTCTTACCAAATTTTAATCACTTAGTGGCAAAAATGTCCTGTCACACTATGAAGTACAATTTGTCATAGTTTTCTTCAGATATATTTCCACCAATCAAATAAAATTTCAATGTTAGTGCTTCGTTAAGATTGTCCTTACCCATCAAGTCGAACTTCAATGAAATCAAGTGGTAGAATTCTACGCTAACTTTGCTCAGACAGAATTGTGCGCCATCTACACGACAGACTTCTACTGACTCTTGTCTTTCAGTTCTGCTTCGTTATCGTACTCGCCAATACTTTATTACTACCATACAGTAATGTGAGGTAAAAACAACATAACAAGTCGTGGACACTCGTATGGTTTTTCTCGTCGCGTGTCTGACTTGATTCTCTTTCCTGATACTATACACCATATATAACCGTGTATCGTACTCGTTATTTGATTTCATTAAATACAGATACGTCGCCAAATTAAAAGCTGTGTTTATTGAAAATTATAGTGTATAACTTACATCAAATTTGTTTTTATACGAACAGACTCGATGGACCCACTTCAAGAGAATTCTTCTAGCGAAACGAACGATGATATCACGTCGTCAATCGTCTTTCCAGATGACGACACTACAATGCCAACTATTGAATCGTCGTCTGAGCAAACAGAAGAATCTAGTGTGTTTCGTATAAAACATCTTTCATCAAAAAGTTCGGTAACTCTTTTCTCTTCAGCTACACCAAGCTCGTCGACCAGTGTGACAGACTCGGGGGTAGTTACGCCTTTTACTGAAACAATTGTAATGGCATCCAGTGAGCCCAGTTCTGATGATACTCAGTTGCATACGTATGGTAGGTTCAAGTTAGAAACTGTATGGTAATATGGAGGTTATTATTTTCTCAGCTTCAGGCGAAGTTGTTGAACCGGACATCACCATTGGGTACGAGAGCAATCGGATTACGACAGATGGACTAAGACCTTCGGACTCGATTGATGACAGCATTTTGATGATCATAGAATCGCCTGTAGTGAAGAAAAAGCAAGCCGGTTCCTCAAATGGTATGTACTAAATGAGTTTAATAAATTCTCTTCCATGAGCGTAATTGATCCCACATATTGATTTTCTTTTAGCGCCGAGACGCGCTCGGAGAGGATTTAACATCGACTTTATTGAGTTTGACCGGGCAGAAGAAAATTCGTAAATTATTAAATTGATTCCATGGTCTTCTTCAATATTGTTCATAGACTGACTGCAAGCATAAACTCAACGGAACTAGATTTACATGAGGAAAAAATTGATGTGAATGTCGACGATTTAGACGATACTCGTGTAATTGGTAGTGGAAATTTCGGTGTTGTTTATGAAGTTACTCTTCGAAGAGGAACAAGAACTATTCGGATGGCCCTTAAGGTACGTTGCTTCGAAATTACAATAAAACAACAAAGTGGGATTCTTTAATTAAATGTCAACGTATTGTAGTGTTTAGAACGTAGAACAGACGGGCATGGATACTCATCAGCCAATAACGAATGGGAAATATTAAGAAGTATCGGTCCTGATAAGAATCCACATATTATCGAGTACTATGGTGCCATGATTAATTCTGTATGTATTGATTCCATGTGTGCATCAACTATTTGTACTCTTCTGTATTTATTGCAAAGTCAATTAATTATATGTGCATCTGGATGGAATTGATGGACACGTCAGTGAAGAACTTCTATGTGACTATGCATTCATTAGGAGAGCCTCCTCCTGCACAACTCGAGTTTTTCATTCGTCGCGTTGCTCATCATGTAAGAATGCTCACTTAAACGTCGCGAGATACACACATACTGCCAAAAAATATCAATGCTTATTAATTTTCCTCTTGAAGTCATACAGAGTTCTTTGTATAAGTAGATTACTTCTGCATTATGGTTTTTGGAAACAAAACATCTCCTCCATCGAGATGTTAAACCTGCCAATATGCTTGTTAATAAAGACAACGTCGTTGTTAAATTATGCGATTTCAACATCTGTTGCCATCGATCAAATTCAGGTATTCACCAAGGGTCTATAGATTATCAACCACCTGAACTCAAAGAAGGGGCTATTCAGAATGATATGTGGGCGCTTGGCATTAGCTTATTAGAAATTATTACCAATAAACATCCATTTAAGGATTGGCCAGTAGACCATAGTCGGTATTTTGAAATTCTGCGATGGAAACGTACAGTTCCAGAAGGAATATCTGATGCTATGCGAAGTCTTATTTTACACTTGTCGGTAGTTCGATATAATCGATTTTTATAAATAATAGCTTCTCTTTTTAGGTTAACAAATTCCGCAGATGACCGGCCCATCTCCTACAAACATATTTTGGATACACTTGCCGAGGATGGCATGATTTCGGCACCATCTGATGCTGACAATCACTTTGTTTCTCAGGTTATGATCCACATTCCTCCCATTGACATTCCTGCTTAACAAGTTTACATATTAGTTTGGATAAGCGAAACTTCAGACTGAATCTATATCACTATCTTCTTTTCTTCTCCTCATTCATAAATTCTCGTTGTTGTTTTTATATTTGATGTAATTTTCAAAGTTAAACAGAAATGTTTTGTAAAATAAAGATCCAATCCCTGTATGTACGTCTATCTACGAACGCATTGTGTATTTGCAGTAAGAGCAGCTGGGCATGGTACTTGTTTGAAATTCATCGATGGATTATCCGCATTTTGAAACCAGTCGAATCGCCACAAGCAACCAGCTTGAATGCTTGGTGGAAGTTTATAACAGTCCGATCGTGCTCGAACACCTCCATACCGATCACCCCATGAAAACGAGCCAACAAATTGACTTGAACATCCATCGAAAATACCAACACCACCACCAGGCATTTGTAGGTCAAAATGATTTTTGCCTAAATCGCCGCCAGTATTCGTTACTTGAACAATCAATTCTTTGCCAACAACTGGGCCCGATGTGAACACCAATGAATAACATGCACAGCACCAATCTGATTCTCGTTGATTCTTAATCAAATAGAGTTTCATTCAAATACTTAGTTACAAAGTTTCTCCTCGTCACATACATTTATATAAGCAGCCGCATATCCATAAGAAAGAGTAGAACTAACATTCCACGGTTGTTGATTATTGCACATGTATGCACCGCCGCCATTACAACCTGATTGAGCATTGACATCAACGGGAGTAATACCATCTCGTGCACAAGTTTTCACTGGATTCGTAACAGATGCTTTGCCTGACCAACCACAACTTGCTTTACAACAATCCCAATAACGAGTGGTCACACCACTTTGTCGACCATCGCTAACCGATGGTGATTGCGTGGTTTTACTAGTAGTAATACCACTTGAAGTTGATGATTCAATACTTGGTAAGCATTGAGAATAATACTCATTACCAAACATACATTTTGAACCGGCACAACAATTTGTTTGACCTTTCCATTCTTTGCCTCCACATTGACTATAGACAGCTACGCACGGTGCTTTAATAAACAATAATGTTGTGCTAGATATAATATTTTCAATGGAAATTGCTCACTTGTTCGTGGTAGAGTCGAGAAACCTATCACTAGAACAAATATTGTCTTCAGCATATTTACTCTCTGAATTCAAAAACAGTCCTCCTATATTTTATATTTTTCTCAAGCGTTAATATATTGTTTGGACAAACACATTCGAAGAAAGCCTACCTAAGCTTTTCTTTTTCTTAATATCAAATTGTGCATCTGATATCCTATACTTTATTTTTAATAATTGATTATGACAAAAACAATATCGATTGCAATCATATCTTGATCTTAAGAGTTGCCAATTTACAATGCAAGTATATTCGAACTGACGAGTAAGGTAATAGGTGAAGCATAGAGAAACAAGAACGCGAAGATGAAAGGATTCTTCGATTAAGTGTCCAAATTATCGTTTTCATACACCTATGCAGATATTTGAGTTCACCAGTTCTATACTATGTTTTAGGTTGTCGTGAAGGAACAGAATGCGTTTTTTCCTGACGACTTCATATATAATTACTGGCAACATTCGCTTTTTATTTATATTTTTGCATTTAATCTTGTTGTGCTCATTTTCCACATGTTTTTTTCCCTAAAAGTGTGTCTGTTGTAGACAAACTTCTTTGTTTTCGATCGACTTTACAATGAGCAGAACAGTATTGGGAACCAATGAATAAGATACATGCACTTTGCAATGTATTCGATTCGATATGAGTCGTTTCTTATGAACAGATGTGTTTAGCAAGAAATGGATGAAACCGATGATTTGATTCTTCTAATCGGAGTTACTCCTGCCATTTCGGTAAAACTAGAATTGTTCTCATATGAAAATCTATACAAAATCATATTTAAGAACGCATTCTGAGAGCACGGCTTTTTTAAAATATCATTTGCGTACTTTACTCTCATAGAAAGAGAGTGAAATATCTACCCAGGTTATATCATGCTCGATTTCTTATTATTTTGTCTTTTCGTGAAATGAAAGTCTATTAGGATCTCTGATACTAAAAGAACAACTTGTTGTTTCTAAACCAACATGCGGAGAGAACACTTCAGACAATAGCCAGCGACTGTTGAACCCCTAAATACAGACGAATAAGTATGCTACTATTCTATGCTTTTCTTTCAAAATAATACAAAATCTACATTCGATTCCTTTGCATTTGATTATCGTCTATCTCCGTGTGCAATCTATATAACAACAAGAAGTGGCCGATGGATATCAACGTCTCGTATAGTTCGAAAACAACATTTAAGCACGAAACGTAATGCATGTTATGCAATTTTAGTTTTATTTGTGATTTCAATTGTATTTGTTGGTATTTTCAATGTTTATCATTGTTGGATTAGGAGGAGAGCTAAACCCTTGTGGTTTTACAATACTCTTTCATGCTGATTACGGGAGTTTATTCCGCTTTTCTAGCGGTTTTTGGCATCTTACCTGTGGTAATTTCAATCATCTTTGGTTTATCAACTTATGAAAATGTTCGGACTCTTCAACACCGTTTATGTCGTACACAAAGATAATTTACTCAAATGATCATCTTACAATTAATTTCATTCGCATTAGCATCGATTTCATATGCGATATATCACCTTTCTATGACGATAAAACGACATTTAATCAATGATTCAGTACATCTCGCACAAGAGAACATCATAACGAATGTTGCTCAAAATCTATTTTACATGAATTATGCTTATAGTGTTTATACCTATTTCTTTCACCATCAAGTAAAACTCGGAGAACATAAAAACGATTCATTTTACGTTGTCTCACTCGATAAAATAAAATTTTAACGAGAACAGGAATGTACATCAATCATCTTCAACGAGTTAAAGCAACTGAATTTATACTTCACCGTAAAACTGTTGTCTGTTCATTTTCTTCTCGTTAACATTATTTGCTGTCGATCTACGTATTTAACATGAAGTGTAATCATCAGAAATATGACAGTGATCTCATTAATCAAGAGCTGTGTTCATCGGATATTCTTGGCAAAAAGCTACAAACCATTTATATCGTCCGGACGGTTTCAGCTGGGCTTCGACCATTAGTATGACATCTTAATGTCTCATTGCCAGATGATATATAAGTAATAATTACAAAAAATATATCAATTGGAAACAAGACAAAAGCTACTGATTTATTAGTATTATAGGATAAACAAGAGTTTAGTGTTATGAAAGGAAGAACAGAATGAAATCATTCAGGAGAAATCAAGTTTTCTTATTTAGTTTATTTGATTATAGACGCACACGTCCTTAAGTCGTGTTCTATGAATCCATCATTACGCAAACTTACCGTTCTCGATGCATCTTCAGTAAGGGTGAAACTACTCTTGTCATTTTCTGGGTACGGAAGAATAATGAAAGGGATGTTTCAAATTTGCGCATATCACTGCTCTGTAGAGCGATGCAACAAAAATGGCCGATCGGGATAAATTGTATAGTATTACCGAAAAAGAAAAAGGACTTTTGGATATTACTTTTTTTTGCCAATACCGGTGTTAACGAAACGATACCGATTGGAAATATAACAGCAGAACAATATGATAATATATTTCGTATAAATGTCAAAGCAGTTTTGTTTACTGTTCAGAAAGTACTACCAACCTTGCCAAATGGCGAATCAATCATATTGAATGGAGCTGTTTGATCAAATTAAAGGATATTCAGGTGAAAGTGTATATTCTGCTTCGAAAGCTACTGCTCAATCGTTCGCTCGTTGCTGAATAGTTGATTTCAGAGATCATCATATTCGTGTCAATGTAGTTAGTCCGGGCTTGATTGACGCACCGGCATTAAAAGTCGCAAAAAGCGGTGAAATAGATGATGTTACTGCGTATCTTATACCTTTAATACCTGTCGGCCGAATAGCCAAGTTTAAGTGTTGTTCTGCACGTCGATGCGTTAAACTTACAACGAACGACTTGAACTACAGCCATTAGGAGTAGTCTTTTTTCTTATAGGAGAGAAAAGGTAATTGAATGATAAATAAGCACAGTTTTCATGAGAACGTGCATAACATTCATAAACAATTTTCTCTACGTCGCTCTAATCAACATACCAAAGCACGTATAGATGCGTGCGAAAGCCTTAAAACGCATATACTATTGTGTTATCAATCAATGTCTTTGTGTATGCAAGATCTTTCTTTGTATTCTGATTATAGGAGTGACGTTTTTGCGTTCCGTTCGAAAAAATGGGGAACACAAGTATTGATCTAATATTATAAAATAGCTACAATTCTCACATTTGCTTTCCGTATTTTTTGCGAACGAAGACCATAAGAAGCGCTTTCATTCCCAGAACGGAGAACGGATTATAGTTTTGGTTAGTATTATAGATAGTTATATGTCAATAGCTTAACTATGTTTGAGGAAATGCTATACAACGTTATCTGAGATCCGTTCCATTTCAAATAATGAAACGCTGACACACCTGATTGTCGTTTCCTACTCTTACAGAATATTTTATGAAGGTTTTTAAATGACTCTCGATTCTCCACAATTTTGTCGGCTCAAGTAGATCTCAGAAAAAGTTTATACTTTAGGACAGACGTTTTCCAAGACCTTTTCTGGACATCACGATTTAGGGGAAATGATAACGTACCGTTTTCCATGTTCATCATGCTATAGATTTTTCCAGATAATATCTAAGTGTTTGAAATCAGGCATAATATAAGTACGTATATTTGTTTTTTTATATTTTTCTTTGATGAATAATAATCCACTCGAATGCATATCTTCTCCTACATCCATAGTCCTCTGTGGACAAAACTGAAAAAGTTTCACTATGCTTGACTTCTATCTTTAGTAATTAGATGTTTGTTTAAGCTCTTTTAGTATTAATTACTGTCCTAGTGTGATCAATATAATGCTGAAGCGAATGAATCTTATTGTTGTGCTCCTTACATTATTGTGCAATACATATGATGCTTCTCGTCGCATGTATGAAACACGAACTGTTACCACCGCTGGTGCTTTCGATTGCATTCACGATGTAGTTGCGAGGGTATTAAATGATCATTTGTTCGAGTCGAATGTGCGATTTCACACAGTACGCTTTTGTCGACNNNNACAAGCATCATCTATTAATCTTTCTTTTACTTCGATGAATACGAATTTTATGTCGAAACTGGCAGCAAACGGTATCATAGTACAAATTGCTAAACACAAACATTTATTAGTGGCTCCAATTCTTTTAGCTATATTTGCTATACCTCGATTAGTATTTGCTTTTATATTCGTATGTAGTAAACTTGATCGATTTCCATTTCTTACTTTACCAAGTTATCTGATTGGTTTTTTACCGTCAATGTCTCTACCTTTTGCATTTATCCTACCATCTGATGTGTATCGACACGCTTGTCTTACTTTTATGATGTTATTCATACCTGGATGTGTTCGAGATCGATTTTTTCAATTTCAGCAGAGATCTTAACTGATTTTATTTACTTGTTCACAGAAATTATATCATCAATTATTTTTCTTTTCTCAGAGTCAGTTACGAAATTTCCCGTCATACGTCTATGTATACTGACTAAACCAGTTGACTGAGACACAGTACATATGGAAAACGATCATCGTCTGTATTGTATAATTTGACAATGTGTAACGAATTTAGCTCCATTAATAAATGAATATCCTCATATGTATATTTTGTTGATAATTCTGTTTGTATTGCATCGTAGGGTTGTAGTTCCATGACGAACCCGTGTTGATCCGTTACTGTTTGTTGTTTTGTGCTAAGTAACCAACTTTCCATCTGTCGATGTAATGGATTATACATAGGATAATGTTGATAGTTGACAAGATCAAAATTGAAATTAAGCTCACGATTGAGACGAAGAAGAAGATTATAATTGAAAGCAGCGGTGATGCCTTTTGAATCATTATATGCTCGAATCATCGTATTTGTATCCTTACACATGTCAAATGCACATATAAACCAATCACCAATTTGTAAATTTCTACGAATCGAACGAATGAATTGCATAACAGGTGCATCATCACCATATTTTGTGTGACTAGGTCCATAAGATGCGAAATTACCAATAGTACTACCCATTAACATCACTGCTTTGATATCCATAGTATTTGTTGCTAGTTTGGTGTACATATCATCAAATGTTGAGCAAATTGGTTTGATATGTTCTTCAACAGTCTTTTCACCCATTTTATTCTTGGACAATTGAATGAGAGAATCAATCGCATGTTGAGATATATCAACTGGATGATAGACCGTCGATATTTCTGATGAATTAATCCAAGGTGTTAACCATGCTTCGACTTTTGCACCATCACCACAGCCAAGCTCGATGAAATGAATCGAGGGCGACGTTCGAGAAGACAAATCACAATGGCGAAGAATAGTTGACTTGATATCATCCATTTGTTGTTGAAGTAATTGCAATTCTTGATTAAATAAATAATATTCTTCTGATTGAGTAATTTGAGTGTATAGTGCAGAGCCTTGCGCATCGTAGAAGTATTTCGACGAAATCCTACGATGATCTTTGTTGCTTAGATCTGCAACGATTGCTTGACGATCCACTTCCGTAAGCGAATCGTCCGTATGCTTCCAATGTTTGACACATCGAAACGTAGCAAACATGTATCGATACGTATCTTGATACCAATTACGAAATGACCTTCGAATGAGTGTTAAGTCGGTTGCATAGGAGCCACCGAGCAGCACAAAATGACGATTGTCAAAAAAGTCAGCTGAATATTCAGGATATGTTGGCAGAGGAGCAAAACAATCCGATAAAGGTCGGAAGATGCTTGCTGTCCATTCAAATGCAGAACCTTGCCATTGCAACTGATTGTCACTTGATGATTTGACAGGCATTGTATGAAGATGACGAAAGTTAACGTTACATTCATCATCGATTAGACCAATATTTATAGAGTCGGACCAATCCCACATTGCATAGATCCACTCCGATTCTTCAGGTAATTCAATTGTTTCTCCACTTTTCTTTGATAACCATCGACAGTATGCTTTTGCTTCGATTTGGCTCAATATGACTGGATGATCGAGTATAGATTCTACAGGAATATTTCGTTGTAGAACAAAGTTTACTTGGAAGGAATTGTCCGTTCTAATCCAGGTTGCCGGATGCTCTATTTTCGCTGTTTTAATCCATTCAAAGATCGACTCATCCCACCAATCGCCAGTTGTGTAACCGTCATCGAGTATGAATTGAAGAAAATCTCCATTTCGAACAGGATGCGATTGCATTTGGAAAGGAGGTAGGTAACAGGCTTCACGAGGAAATTCGTTATCCCAACCAAACGAGAATGTGGATAACTTGTCACGATACGGCTTACCTAATGAAGTCTGTCCGCCTGGCAATTTTACCCATTTATTTTCTGATAGCGAAGAAATAGCTGGCATTTGACGAAGTTGAAGTTCAACAATTTCATCCGTTCGAAAACTTTCTATCGGTAATTGAACAAACAGATACATCAAAGTTTCCTGATGTAGCATCTCGTGTTCTGCAGCGATATTCAGTACATTGAGCGTATGTAAATCGTTGAGATCAAGATTGCCGTCGGTTAGAACATGAACAATTTGTTTTCGAACATTTTGCTTATATTCAACTACACTTGATACTGTAAATGAACGCCAATATTGTTCTTCTTCTTTAACATCTGTTGAGAACCGACTGGAATGAGTATGTTCGACAATACCTGTTTGCACATTCGGATCGACTCCACGCACAAAGACTTCATCATAGATTGGATCAAGAACATCGTCAATGCCGTTCAGATGACGAAATTGCATCCAACTAAAACATGGTAAGTGGCCAAGATAAAATATCAGCGGCAATCGAAGTTTGACTGGCTGTTGATAGTAATCGTCCGATGAACGAAGTAATGAAAAAAGTCGATCGCTTCTATTCCATATATAATCGAACTTGTTCATCCAGTAATTAACATTAGATTGCATTTTGTTTTACAACACAGTAGGCTCCCTTTAATATATATTCGCACACACCACCTTCTATATTCCTTTGACTCAGCAAAACAAAAATGTACCTCGTTCGAGCACATTTTATAAGTGTGTCAATCTCTCTGACATGTACTATTTGCGTGATATCATTTTTCTTATCTAACGGATTTGATATGATGTTTTCTTGCATTCTCTTCTGTATGGAAGAGCATATAAAGGTGTATGTTACATCAGAACGATGCGATTTATGAGAAAGAAATAGATACAGGCGTAGTTCCATCAGCGCATACATCTCTTCCATCTGAAATCGTCACAGTAAACAGCACTGCAGACGTAAACTAAGATATTATTCATCAATATATGTTTTATGTTTATCATTACAATAGTTTATACCTATCACTTTTGTTTCTGAAAGATATAGTAAGAAAGAATGCGAAAAAAAACATTTTCTTTCTTTCTTTCTTCGATGATTGTATCTTTTTAAAGCACGTAATACGCACAAAAAGTAGGACACTTTTAAAATAGGTAATATAGCCCAATAGACTGTAAAAAGCGTACGAACTTGTCGGTTAATTGATATAAGAGTAAATGTGTGCGCTGAACAGTTAAAGTACACCATTGTCTTCGCTTATACGATCCATAATATATACAATTAACAAGATTTGAGAATAGTCAGTGATATGATGAGATTACGGCTGCTATAACAACCACCACCACCACCGCTGTTATCCATTAAGACTGATGCTGGTCTAACGTCAAGACCACCGTCATCTTGCTCAGCTAAAAATATTAGACGAATTGAACGTTGCAACACAAATTTCAAATCACGAGTCTATTGTTATATGATTCATCTGCGTCTTGAGATACTAAAAACTAATGTTTACTTATGTGTAATGTTGCATGAATTGATGAATTTCGTTTAAACAAAACTGATTTTGTAAGCACACTGATACATTCAAATGTGTAAATGAAAATACAAACACTATGATCGTTCCATTTAGCAGATATTCATTACTATAATTGTCTATATTGAACAAAAACAATGAATGAAATCAGTTCCTTGTTTTCTGAATGGTTTTATATAGAAAATTTATTTATGTTTGTTTAGTTCGAACGTCAAATGAATGAAATGATTCGTTTACGTACTGATTATTATCAGAATGAATAAATACGAATTCGAGTCAAGAGTGACTGATAAAAAATCAATGAACTTTTCGAAGATTCTCGTCATCGTAGTTTAAGCAGTAATGGATTATACAATTACATCTACCTCCTTTTATTGCCACAGGTAAACGAAGAGAAGTGCACTCGTGTGCGAAGCATATGAAAGGTCTGATGTAAAAGAAAAAGCAATTTTTAGATGCTCTTCAAATTCTGTTTTATCTGGAAAATACAGAAAAGTATTTATACACGCATATTTTTTAGTACTTTCCGTATTTTTTAGCTAAAATGTACTGCAGAAGTGTTTAAAAATGGTTTTTGTTCACTCTTTTCTAGATAAATACTCCTCCTGGCGCATCATTTTCTTCTCCAAATAAATACCAAATCAGTACAAATTCAGACTGTCTTTCACTTTGCGTACAAACTGTTCTCCTCCTGTTGTCTTTCTACGGACTACTTTTCAGAGTTTTTGCAACAACAAAAATTTCTTTTGTCGAAAAAAAAACACATACAATGTTTATTGACTACTTTTTCTTTGTTTTCGTTTTACTCGTTACTTTCTTGGCGTATAGAACTCCGAGATCATGAATTAATTCATCAAGTGTCATTAGTGTTTTTTCGTCTGCACATTGGTCTAAGCTAGAAAAAGTACAAAAAACGCCTCGCCAACTCAATGAGATAAACATAAAGCACTTTTACTTTCGATTATACTGAAAAAAATCTCAACAGAGTTATTTGTTACTTGTCATCGCATCATGCCTACTCTCTCTAAAACGAGCAAGGGTTCGTATCCTCGATGGTCTGGACCCTTGGTCACAGTACGTATTCTTACATTGATTTCTGTTAACCATCGTACTTATTTGTCTATCTGTCTGTTGCTTAGAACCAGTTACCATGGACTAATAGAACAACTGAATTGGACACCCTACCGAGCATTCTAGAGGAAGATCTTACATTATGTAAACGAAAAAAAGCTATAGCAATCGGTTTTATCCTGTGTGTACTACTTGGCCTTGCTATAGGAGTACCTTTTATAGTGGAAACGATAAACTTAACAACGACGAGTACAACAAGTTCTACGGGTACCACTAGTACTACAAGCACTACGAGCAGCTCAAGTAGTACTAGCAGTACAAGTAGCACTAGCACGACAAGTAGGTGATACAAAATAACGGTGGTGTGTGTCTTAAGTGTCTCGTTTTTAGGTATTTTATGTTTAAATGGGTACGTCTTTTATCTATAGGTGAAAAAAACACTCCTTCCTAACTCTGTTTTCCAGAGGTACTCCACTTTGGAATGGTACATGTGCATGTAACAATTATACCACGGGTACTCATTGTGAAACGCCACTTTGCCTTGTCGCTGGCTCCCTATCCGCGACCTGCTCAAACAACGGTACCTGTAGCTACAATTCATTAACCAATACAGGTAGCTGTTCATGTCCATCTAGCTCTTGGACAGGTATGTATACGTATCTTGAAATATAGTATTCAATTTCGCAACTGTCATAAATGATTGTTTATTTTAACAGGAAGTTATTGTCAGACTCGTGAGTTCATATTTCATTGATAAATTTCACAGTCAGGTGAGCCATTTCTTCTTTCCATATTTTTTCGTCTAGCATTATGTCCCAACTGTAATAATAACTGTGGTTATGGTTATTGTAATTCACCGTCAAGTTGTTATTGTAATAGTGGTTATCAAGGAACATGCTGTAACACGACTATTACAAGTGGTAAATGTTTATCTCTTGAACCAGCGAACACAACATCCTGGGGTGAGTAGGCAAATATTACTTATTTGACAAAGAGTATTACTTTTCCTTCGTTCTGCAGGCAATGGATTCAACAATACTTTCTATGGTAACGAACACGATGTGGCTAATGTCTCCTGTGCGAGTGGGAAAACTCTGAAAGTTGCAGCATGTTTCTATGGTATTAACAGTGCCAATCCAGGATGCCAACCACCTACAGCCTCGGCAACCTGTTCTTCTATGGATGTAACTTCGAAATGTGCTAGTCAGTGCAACTCAAATTCTTGTAATTTTGCAGTTGAAAATACCGTTTTCGGTGATACATGCTATGGTCTAGTAAAAACCTTTTGGATGTACTATACCTGCTCATAGTTCGAGAAAGACATGAACGCTTTTGCATTTTGAAAAAAAATTTCATTCTATACTAACTGAAAGCGTACAGAAAACTGAAAACAGAATGATCTTATTCCAAGGCTGATATAAATTTTTCTCTCGACGAATCAATTCATTGAAATCAATGAAGCGGGATAGTGTAACTCTACTATTGAATCTCGATATTGAGGAAAATCTAATTTATATGATATGAAAATTGGTTGGAAGTAGCCCGCGCCTACAAACATTGAAGAAAAGCGTGCAAAAACCCATGAATGTTTAAACAAAAACTAAACCCTCGAAGTGCACACTTTAATCCTATAAAATATCGTTGAAAGTATAAGAGCACCTAAAATATGTTTTCTCGTGTCGCTTCGCAATGTTCATCCGATTGTGTTTCTCAAAACGATAGATTGAAGAAGTGCATTACCCTGACCCACAGATATAGTATAAGAACAGAAAAAAGCGAAGAACGCAAGAGAAATATATGTAAAGAACAGGAAGACTTAAATAGTACATTAATACGAATCGAACGACCTCCAATCCTCTGTAGGCTTCATTGTCCCACGTTTAGTTTTTCTCGTTCTGTCATTTTTTATATTGCGCTCATTCATCTACGAGAGAAAATATTATCGCAAATAGGAAGGAAGAAAGGAACTGGGAAAAACCCAATTGATCTCTCTATATGACCACATACTAGAGAAAAGAAGATCGAGTAGTATTGAAAACTATCATAATCGATTCAACTAAAGACAATATCAAATAAACTTTTTTATATTTTAATGTGCTAAAGAACATTTACTGAACTCGTGCGCCCTATGGCATCAAAACTACCTTACACGGCGATTCCAATTGATGATTCATTTATTAAAATGATATCGAATCAAGCCACAAAATTAATCGAAGAAATTCAAAAAGATATTGCAAACGAAAAAGAAATATCTGATCGGACTTATAAAGCATGTAATACAATTCTTCAAGATATTCAACAAGAATATCTCCGTATACAAATTGAATTCATTGAAGAAACACAAATTCTTATTACAAAAGCTTTACAAGAACCAAATAAAAGATTCCATGAAACTTGGCTGCAAATTTTCGACATGTATGCAGGAAGATGTCATCAAATAACTGGGCCGATTCTTCAAGTGTTGAACTCCGTGGCTTCGGAGAGTAAACGCCTACAGAACAAATATCGTTTATTGTTAGCTGGCACCACAGCTTTCTTAGTTGTCTTTACAGTATTTATTGGCGGACTCGTATTGCATTTTTTGCCAGAAGCTTGGTGTTGTTTTACGCTTACTGCTGGTGGACTTGCTTTAGCAGCAGACGGTGCACTTTTAGCAGCTGGTCTAGCTATTGCGTGTGTCATTGGAGCAATGAACACATCAGCAATACGTGCTGTATATGATAGATGTACAAGCGAGTTACAAACATTATTAACTAAGCACCTCCCATGTTTATTTAATGTGCATAAAAACACGGTTACCTCAGCAGAGTTGCAGCAAGCTATCAAAGACTCGATCGATACATTCAAGATCAAAGAAGATGTCTGGATTAATATTGATACATTGGAAATGTTGAAACGGTCAACAGTTCGCGAACTCTATGCTTTAAAACAAAAAGTAAACCCATAAACAGACACGTTGTCGTTATATTTCCTTTTTGACCAAGACTTATATTTATTTATTATACGAAATTTAAAACAAGCTTTGAAAGTTAAGGATCTACTTTAATTCCTTTCCAAACTAAGTTTGCAATGGTGGTTAATTTCTGCGGTATTATCATTAATTCATGTTCATGTCCATTCTCTTGACATTTTGTGCATAAATTATAATTATCACACACCGAACAATGATATCGTTCCCCAATCAATGGTTTCATTTGACATCCCTGACAAGAAACACCGAGCCACTCATAGTTTTCATCCGATTTCAGCCCACCGTTTAACCAATATCGAATAGCATCAACATTCTGTTCGTAGATATCACCTACACCATCATTACTGATTACTTTTCCATCAGCAGATAGCACAACTAGAGTTGGAATACCATCAACATTGAGCTTTTTACTGAGTTTCTTCTCGCGATCACGTTCTGAAAATATACACATGAAGGGTTATAAAAAAAAATAATCGATATAATTCGATAATTACCTGAATATGGCAAAGCTTTCCATGGCATTGAACCGAAATACTCATTGAAAGCGATTTCATTCTCGTCCGACGAAAGAAAAACGATATCGAATCGATCCTGTAATTCTGATTGAACTTCTTTGTAATGCTTCGCCAAAATCGGAGTTAAATGTTGACAAGGTCCACACCAATGAGCTCTTGAAAAGAAAATATTTGTGAAAAGAAGGATGAGGCTGATAATTACTCACGAAAAATAAATTGCAACAACTTTGTTATCTAAATCACTCGTCGGCACCTGACGATAAGGTTCATTCGATTCATTGTTCGGATTGACTTCGAGTAAATATTCTCCTAAGAAATCTTTTAGATCAATAGCCATTCTTCGTATAAACAATACCGAAAACGTGAAACGTTACTTCTTCTTTATATAGACTTCGATGCAGAACAAAAAAAAAACAAGCAGCGCCTACATTCGTGTTCTGCGGTGACTCATCTCAAACTGCGTCTTTTCCCTCTCATACATGATTCATTCGATTAACGTATAGACCAATTCAAAACAAACATGATTCATCTCTATTTTCGTTTTATTCACAAAATAATTACACATTGCTAACATTCAAGAAGGATATGCAACTAATCGAAGAACACTAGGCAAAGTTTTTGATCGCGGTTGTATTTGTAAAATAGTCCATAGATCGTTTCTGTAATTAACACGGTGACGATTATATATGAAATCATATGGTATATAAAAATAACCATTATCAGCCTAAAAATCGAATTTATAAAAAAAAATAATAATACATTTTTACTCACCCAATGTGGTCCCCATGAGTTTCTTGCGATGAAATGTCGCGATTGTCGATCGTAACCGACAAGAACAACCGTATGAAAAGCATCTCTATCGATCAATCGATCATCGAGAAGATGCTCTACTAAAAATCCATTATTCATTTGAATGTTCATCGCAGTGTCTCCATCAAGCACAATATCAATAGGTACTAATATACCGTTATGCAAACATGTTTCAATAGAAAGAATATCAATAGGAACACGAAGCAAAGTAACTGTATAATTCATGGCTTCGTCATAAGCATCATAAGTGGGTTGACGATTTAGAAATCGCATATCGTATGGCCAACGGTGTTCTTTACAAACACCGTAGTCTCTTATAGCTAAGGCAATGTCTTTTTGAGTGACACCGTAATCTGTAATTAAAGGTGCAAATTGTGTTCTTATTTGACCATTGTAATTGATAAATAAACGAGATACGTCAACATGATAACCCGTCGTACGTTGAATAAGATATTCGTAGATACTTGAAAATGCATTGGCTGAACTGAAGAAAAAGATAAAGTGATCACAGTCGATCAAGAAATCAAAATTTACCAAGTGTTCATATCTTGCTGATATTTCACCGGTGTCATGTATGCCCGTAGGTCAACTCGGGACGATAATGGACTAAACGGAAATGAATAGAATTGTTGTGAATATCGATATTCATCTGTCACATGAGTAGGATATTCATCTGTATATGTCATATAAGTATTCCACATGATTTTTGATACGTTTGAGACTGAGTGGAAAGATGAGAAAGTACGTATTCCTTTTTATAGCACTTCGAAAATAACAAGGTAGATGTTAGCCATGATTTCTTTTTTTTTACTTGACTTTTCCAAATTGAAAACGAGGAAATGAATGTGATGTATGTCGTAATGACGTGAATTGATTGCTCACTAATTTCTGACATTTTCTTTTTCACCTTTAATTAAAACATACACACAAACAAGAGAAAACAAAATGATTTCTGTGGTTTCCATTCATTTCGTTCTTCGCAAACAGTTTCTCGCGCATCATAAGCAAAAAACACGCGCTCGTAGTTTACACAGATTGTCTTGTCATGATATTTTATTGTCAAGAAAAAATAAAGAATTTTTTTGTCAATGAGCTCAATGCACATGGATAAAAATCTTACAATTGCTCGTCATTTTCTATTCATGAACTAAAATTCGACTTCAACAATAAAATATGCGCAAAATTTATGCGGTTATAAAAGTCTCTAACTGGAATAAAAGATGTTATTGGCAATTATTTCATGTTTTCTATTGGAATAGGCACGATTTCTTCGGTTGTTGATGTTTTTGTTGATAATTCGAACCGAACTGCATAGGCGAGATAAGTAATTGGATCGAACAAAATAGTTGCTTTAATTTCATCGGTATTCTTTTGATAATGAAATTTTTCTAAATAATGTTCTGTACTTTTGTTTTGTTTTGCATTGAATTGCAGTTCTGAAAACATTCTTCGATCAAGATCCATACCGATATTCCATATATGACCAATTTCTAGCTGATTGTCATACTTTAGATTCATCCAAGCATAAATCCGATCGTTAGATTTACAATCGTCAACGTAAATAAACGCTAATAAGCTTTTTATATCTCTGCGTATTGTTTGAAATTTTTCAAATGTGAGAAGATCAAGAGGTTTATTCAATTGTTCGATAATTAATGAACATTGTTTACCATAATTATCTGTAATAACGATTTTTATTCTCAACGGTTGTGGCAGTGCACTATTGGTTCGCGTACGGGCTTCTTTACATCTTCCAGCTGTTCCTCTTGTTAATATTTCTCCTTTTATACTGTATGAAAGCAGTTTATTCGGTTCAATATTGATTAAAAGATGAGATAACCATTTGATATCTTTCTCTTGTGCGGACTCAGGTGCAATTGCAAGATTTTGACATTCACGCCAGCCACCATCATGCATTTGATAAAATAAAGATAAATTACTAACTGAAATACCTTTATCGACAACTTGTGATCGTTTTTGACTTAAGATTTCTGGTAATATCGTTGGTTTTTTCGAAAACACAATTGAAGTAATAACAAATTGTTGTATAAACATGTCTTCCACATTCGATGCAATTTGTTCCATTGCGATAGTATTTTTATTACTATAAGCCATGAGAATAGCTGAATCACCTTCACATTCATGTTTAATTATTTTCAAATCCGAAGGAACATTTATATCTATTTGTGGTCCTGTTCGTTTCGGTTGTGGAATCATAGCAGCTAATTCCTTTAAACGTTGGCATTGCTGCGCTATTAGAATATTATTACCAATGATTTCATCAGATGAATCTTTCATTTCAGCCTTTTCAATACACATACGAGATCGATCAAGTAGAATTTGTAGTTTTCGAGACCAGACATCGTCATCAGAGGCAACTTTTAAGTGACAGACGATAAATAACGACGTATCAGAGTCAGCATCATATTCCCATTGGCATTCGAGAAACCACGGAGCTGATGGTACATACTCCATCGTATTGTCCAGACGACCGATTAACTTGTCTATAAAATATTTATATAAATTCTTATTAAAGACGATTAATTTCGAAAAAAATCATCTTTTGGAAAGTCTATAAACTAACCAAAGCTTTGTTCTTACTTTCTCGTTTTTCTTTGGCAATTTCCATCAATTGATACATTCCAAATATATAAAGACTATCAATAGTTTTGGTTGATATCAGTCTTATAAATAATTCGGAAATATTATTAAGGCCAATTTGAATGATTTTCTCTCCTTTATCTGATCTATCGTATTGAATTTGTTCCAACCAAACAATTTTATTGTCAAAAAATGTAAAGTATGTAAGAATGAATGTTTTCATATCGACACAAATAATTTGATCATTGTCTTTGAGTACAGTCGAACATAAATCTGATACATTTAAAGTAAAATCATCCACGGTTTTCAGTTGAACTATTTGTAAATGTTTGTATGAAAGTCTTTCAATGATATATTCTTGTAATGTATGAAGAAGTTCACCGATAGTTGTTGTCGATGGAGTGTCTATGACATAAACGAATTTACGTAATAAAGGTTTACCGTGATATCGATTTTGTCCATCACCCAATCGAACTTTAATCCGTAATTGCTCCATGTATTAGTTTAGTTTGTCATATGATAAACAGGAAAAAAACAACATTTTGTGATATTCCATTATTCAGTTGCCATAGTAACTGTAGTGAGAAATTCATGGAAAGAAAAAGGAAAAGGAAAAGGATGGTGTGAAATCTACGTCTGTAAATATTAAATAGTTGACTCATTTTATATGGTACGCTTTTCTTAAAATAGTATAACTTCGCGGATGTAGAGAAGTTTGTATCAGCTTGTTCGGAAAGTTCGTGCAACTCAGTGGGTTGAACCCATATCGACTTAGATCACAGAAATTGATCATGATATTTATTAAATGTATTGACCTTCGCTATCAACCACACGTTGCCAGCGATTACGCAAACTTTCTATACCTTCACAAAAAAATCAGAATCAAGACTAGTTAAATAGTCTTCAACGGTATCAATTGCCTCATGTTCACCACTAAAACTTTTGCCACGCAGAAATCTCTTCAAGTTTGAGAATAGATAATAGTCAGATGGTGAAATATCTGGAGAATAAGAAGGATGGTTCAGTTCGACGAAACCAGCTCTCAGTTGCATTCAGCCCTTTTCGCGTAAAAAACTTGATAACAGCTCGATACTCAATATTCGACATTTTCTAGAAACTAAACCAGATAGTTTACAAACTGCCTTTTTTCTGACGAAAGGGAAAGAACCAATACGATTAGAATTGGTGAATTTTAATAAAACCACGCCCTCTATAGAATAACGTAGCTCAAATATTTCAAAGGAGCGATTCAGGGTCAGTTGCACGAACTTTCCGAACAAGCTGATAATTTGTTCATTTAATACAATGGAAACGAATGATTGTTTTCAATGATCCAACACACAGACTACGAAAAAATGAGGATATAGGTGACAAGGTTTTCTTTATTCATATACCAACTGCGAAATTATGTTAATAAATGGCAATTTAAAATATACTCTCTAACTAAAATGTTTTCCGACGGGATTATATTTTCATTTTTGCACGATTTTCATCAGTGATCTGCATTGTCGATATTTTTTATTCCGTTTCAAACTCCAAGCCGAAAAGGATTCTTTTTTTTTCAATTTCAGTATGTTTTTCGCGATTGTTTAGTACCAATATGACCTTTGTGAAGCTTGAAATGAACAAATAAAGCATTGATTGGCACATGAATCAAAACTTTCTACCTTTTACTAACATAAAATGTTTACTTTTATCTAATATTTCGTGAAATTGGAGTATAGAATCCAAAGCAGTTCACTAATCTTCACGAATGTTGAATGAACGATGGTTATCTATAAATGTAAATAAGGCAAACAATTCTTGGGAATAGATAACAAGACACATTCGTAAGATTTTCAATATTATTCAGTTATCGAACGCCAGTTCGACCATCAATCGCGACCTGTCTTTTGCTTTTTCTTAGAAGTGAATTCGAGCTTTTATCACTATAAAGTCTAATTAACGGAAGATGCAATGTCACTTTTGGAAACTTATCTTGAAATTTATGCTTATAGACATATTCTATTATCCTATTTAGTCAATAATATTACATTCTAATTCCTAAAAGCATTGATTTTTGTCTCGAGAAACAGATTTCTTGTACACATCTTCCTTATTTTTATATGAGCAATCAAGCAAGAACATTATGGCAATGAAACGCAACAGAATAACTGGAAGGAAACGACTGCTGTAACTATCTAAACACTAAGACAGTTCACAATTTGGTTACTAACTTTTCCAATCGATATTCAAAATCAGTACAACTTGAACGACGTTCCGCTCTACCAGGAATGAAAATATTCCATCAACATTGCTCTCGACTATGAGAGAAAGAATAGTTAAACTGAAATTTTTTTCATGAGCTATTATGCAGAAATAGCAAATATGCATACCTGTTTTTTTTCAGTGAAAATATTCTTCACATTTTAATTTGTAGCATACAGGTTTTATTGAAAAATACGTAAGCCAGATGTATATACTTTTTTTGATACGATTAAAATCGTTGAGTAAGGATACTTATCTGAGTAGTATATTAACCGTTTACTGAGCAAATATCTATATGCTTTCATCATGCATTTCTCTATTTCCTCTGTGTGACTTTTATTTCAAGTAAATGTTCATTTAAGCTATTTTGTTATGAACAGATTCCTTTCAAAGTTGAGTTAGTCGATAAATACGATGTTATTGTGCATGCGTCTAGTCGTTGTTTTCCTCACACTGTGTAATCGATACTGTGCTTCGTATCGGGTGTATGAAACACGAACTATGACCGCTGCTGGTGCTTTCGATTGCTTACACGATATAGTAGTGAGAAAACTTGCACCAAGTCTTTTTGAACCAAACACACGAATTTCCACAATACGCTTTTGTCGTCAATCAACACTTAATCCGTCATCCCAACAGAGAATCAACATCACTCATGGTACTCCTATTACATTTCATCGTCTACGATCATTGAACGTCACAGCCGAACAACTTTTCAGTTGGAATGCACCAATGGATACTATCGAAGACTATCAATCAGGTGTTGAAGTAGGATTATTTGTGAACTGTTCTCAAGATGACAAGTATTGGTTTGGACCAAATTGTGAATACACATTTGATTCATCGAGTTATTTTCCTGATATTGTCGATGATCAATTTAATGCAAAGAAAGGTATTCCTGATGATCTTTTAATAACGGATAATAGTATCTGTTTGGAAACGGGTGGTGTCGAATGTCAGTCGGTGCTGTGTCTGGATTGGCGAGAAATATGTGACGGTAAGGAATTAGTTCATTTAGGCTTGTTAGCTATGATCGATATGACAGAACTACTAAGCAGAAAATTAATTGACTCATATCAACTGGTCGTATTTTTCTGTTTGTTATACGTGAGCACGAGAGATTCAGAACACTTCTGTACAGATGCTCTCTAGCACCTATGGTAATTTACGTACGGTAGCTTAAGATTACATGAAAAGCGAATATCTTTCCTAGAATCGTTGAATAAATAACTAAAAGTGCTTTTAAATATTAATTCAAACTCTTTAATGTTTATGACATACTGATCTACACAGGTGTGTTTGTTCCTTTATAAAAGTTAATTTAATTCTGATATAGGCAAGATCGATTGCACGAATGGAGCCGACGAAGAATATTGTCATAGACTTGAAATGAATGAATGTAATCCATCAAATGAATATCGTTGTCTGAATGGACAATGCATTGATAAACTTTTATATTGGGATTCGTATCCTGACTGCATGGACTCCACTGATGAGACTGTTATACATAACAACTTTTGTTTCCAGAATTTTGATTTCAGATGTCACGATAAATTATGTCCTTCTATATGGTTTTCATGTGGTGATGGTGATTGTCACTATGCTCCAACTATCAATTCACCAGAATCATCCTGCAACTCACACCGAGATCTTCTCTATTACAAACAGGCACATCCATCTACAATCATCTTATTTTCACATATATTCATCACTTATCACAATCTCACACCCATTTCGATTTGTTTCAACAAAACATTGTGTCCCTATTTGTCAAATGATGAAACTATGACAACAACTGATAAGAATGGTTTATCTTGTCGAGCTTTTGACACATTTGGTCGTAATGCTACGTATATTGACTTTTCTTCTATGATTAGAGATCTGAAACATTTGGTACTTTCATGTTCGTTGTTACCTAGAACTGATGTTACGGATAATTGTACATTATTCCAATGTAATGATGGAAGTAAATGTTTGTCGAAGTATCGATTATCAGATGGTGAAAACGATTGTTCCGATGGTGAGGATGAACATCAATCGAACACATGTGATCTCAATCATCACTATCGATTTAAATGTGATAATCACATCAAATGTATCCATCCATCTTTGATACGTAATTACGAGGTAAGTATACGCAGTTACAAAATAGTTCTGTTTTGGAAACTTTTCTAATAGGACGATTGCGGTGATGGAAGTGATGAAGAGTATTCGTATGCTTCACTTTGTGAAGATCTAAATACAGAACAATGTTATGCTCATCGTCGTCAAGCACATCAGTTTAACATGACATTTAGTCAACTCTGTAATTATATTCTTGAACGCATTCCAGATGCGAATAATGACACAGATGAATCTAATTGTCCCATGTCACAATGGAACTGTTTCACTCAATATACAAGATGTAATGAAGTCTGGAATTGTCCTGATGGTCGTGATGAACTTAACTGTCATTGGTCTCTTCTTTCTTTACGTTTCTGTGATTCAGTCAGTCATTTCTGTTTAAATATTCGAGATGGAAATCAAACATGTTTATCTAAAGAACAGGCTGGTGATGATGTTGTTGATTGTGTTGGTTCAACAGATGAAAGAGAATATTGTCGTGTTCATTATCCCTATGAGTTTAAACGTCGTTATCGTTGTCAAAATTCGACGAAATGTATTCTGATTAGTGAAATATGCGATTGTCATCAAGATTGTCCTTGGAATGACGATGAAACGATCGCATGTCATTGGCTCAATAATGGAAAAGAAACGAATTGTGATCCTCATCGATTTCGATGTCGTGATGGCGAATATTCATCAACAGTTACGTTTAGATCACGATGCGTTCAAAGTCCTTCGGCGTGTGATGATGAAGAACATCTTATCTTCTGTGATTTGAATGATCGATCAACCGGTCGACCATTCCAGACGTATGACATTCCAGAAGTTCCAAAGTCTAAAATCAATCAACTGGTTCGAAGTTCAACAAAAGAAAACGATATTATTCATTGGTATTGTAATCGTGGAATCTATGTGTATTCACTATCAAGTCCTCTCGGTTTCTATTGTATGTGTACAGAATCTTATTATGGTCATCGATGTCAATTTCAACGCAAACGAATTTCTCTCATTCTTCAGTTACAAACCACCAGTTCATTCAACGTTGTTCTTTCATCCTTCAAAATTGTTCTTCTCCTCGTACGAAATGATACTTCAAATACGATTGTCTCACATGATCAACTAGTATTTACACCACATCGACATTGTCTACCGAAATATTTCATCCATCTATATTATCCAACAAATCAATCTTTGATTCCATCAACTAATTATTCACTTCACATTTACGTGTTTGTTGCTAAAACATTAGAACTTCGAAGTTCATGGATATTTCCTGTTCCATTTGAGTTTTTACCTGTCAATCGCATAGCAAAACGATTGCTCATACCTGATGAGAGTCTCACCATACAAACAATACAATTTAATACAACAAATTGTAGATCATGTTCTAACATATCTCGTTGTATTGGATATGATAGTGATCTTTGTGAAGATATCTGTGTATGTCCACCTCATTTGAGTGGTCGTCGATGTTTCGTTCCATTTGATCCGTGTGTTAATCAGAACTGCAGTGGACATGGAGAATGTTTACCAGTTGACTCACGTCTCTATGAAACTGATCAATTTATTTGTGTTTGTGAAAAAGAATGGTTTGGGAATGAATGTGAAGAATCAAAAGCTCGAATTCATGTGACATTTGCTTCGAATATTCCCAAACCATCGTCAAATATTGTATTCCTCCATGCGTTCGATGTGAATGAACACTTTGAACCAATACATTTAGCGTATTTTCAGCGTCTTCGTTCAAACATATCAAATTATACTTTTCATTTGGATAACAACTATTTACATAATTTAATTTTCATCCAGCTGTATGAGCATAGCCATCAGTATGAATATTATCTTCTACTATCTCGAAAAATGAATAGTGATGTATTAAAAGAGATCAATAGTGAAGTGACTTCATCTCATCGATGTCGATCAATCAATGAACTATTACATCCAGATATTATTCGTCTGCCACGATTACGTCGTGTCAAATATTATCAACAAATATGTCGAAATAAGGAGAAGTTCATGTGTTTCTATGATGATAAACTCATGTGTTTGTGTGATGAACGAAATCAGAGCGATTGTTTCAATTTTGAACCTACATCATATGGATGTCTTGAAAATCGATGTAGTGGTCGAGGAATGTGTGTTCAAGATCATAATCTTTGTCCACGACAATCGTTGTGTCTTTGTGAACCTTGTTCTTATGGAGAGAAATGTCAATTTTCTCGATCTGGTTATTCTCTTTCATTAGATGCTATTATTGGATCACATATTCGATTAGCAACATCGAAGACAATCATTTGGATTAGTGTGCTTTTGATCTGTTTATTCGTTATTATTGGAATAATAATGAATATGTTAGGAATTGGAACATTTCATCGACGAACAACACAAAATGCTGGTTCTGGTGTTTATTTGTTAATTTCATCATATTTTGGATTAATGACGAGTCTTTCATTGTCTGTGAAGTTAATTTTCTTATTTATCAATAATCAAGGAAATGTATCATGTGCATTGATTGAATTTATAATTAAATGGTCATTAACAAGTTGTGAATGTTTAAATGCATGTGTAGCCATTGAACGAACATTAGCGGTGAATCTTCGTACTAAATTCTCACGAATCAAAAGTAAAAGAGTCGCTAAATGGATTTCGATTGTTGTGCCTATGATTGTCAGTGTTATCTGTTCACCTGAATTGATCTATCGTCGAATGA